ATTCTGTAGTTTTTCCTCTTGACACAACTCTGTTTTGTATCATCAAGAAATAGTCAGAAAGATAACACCTGAAATAATAGATTTTGAATGCTGATTTGTCATCAAAACCTCAAAAATCAAGAACTTGTATCTTTAATCCTAAAGTTTCCCTGCATCACTCTTCAATTACATTTATTGGCATGACAACTTTTAACTTGATTGTTATTGCTTTTCTTTCCACATTGGATTGTAAGATTGTATTTTCATTCTAATCATTCATTTGCTTATAAATATACAAAGTTTTTTTTTTACATTCCTAACTTTCCTTTATTTATAACTGAAAGAGTATATTGAAATGATGAACGTCTCAGAGCAATGAGTTAAGTTTAAGACTTCTTATTGTTTTAAACTAATCAAATTTTTCAGTTTTTATTGTAGAGAATGGTTTTAAAACTTCTCCACCTATGACAAATAGGTTGTAGTAGGTCATTTCCTCCCACCTAAAGCAGGAAGTTCTAAAACATCTTTACAACTACTAAATCATTTGATTGAAGTATGTAAAGCCCATCCCAAATTTACCTTTTTGTTGGAAATTACTAATTGCATGTCAGATTGTTAAGATGTCTTTGTCAGACGAGAACAGAAATTAACCTTAACTTGTTGCACATTTTATGATTCTTTCAAACTTGTAATGTTTCTTACTGCTTTTTTTTCTTTCTTTTTGTTTCAATGTAACCTTTGATATTATCACAGGGTTGATTTATTAAACAAATGTTAAAATTTTTATTTGCTCTTAGATAAACATCATAAATTCAGGGGATTAGGGTGGAGGTGGAAATTAAAAAAGAAAAATAGCCTTATTTTAATGTCAACTGCATTTCAACCCATTTCTTATGTGTGCAAACACACAATTTTGACTATTGACACAAGAGTTCCTCATGAAACAGCAAATGAAAATGAAGATAAGAAAAAAAATTAAATTTTAAAAAATAAAATAATTGGCACAGTAAACTGGAAATTCCAACCTGACGTTAACTTGGGGTTTGCCAATATAATCCAATAAGATTGAATAATACCCATCATGTCCTTTGTCCCTCTAATGACCTGTTTGATAAATAAATTGGAATATATTGAAGATGTATACTGTTTTGTTATCTACATGAAACTGTTAAAGTTGTGGAGGCCATCTTTAAAGGAAGAATAGTGTTAGTCCTATGAATCCTATAGTCAAGAATAAGTAACAGAATTTCTTTTTTTTCATTTTGTTCTCTCTCTCTTGTTCTCTCTCTCAGTTCTCTCTCTCTCACTCTTCTCTTTTTCTCTCTCATTTTGTTCTCTCTCTCTCACTCTCTCTCTTGTTCTCTCTCTCTCCTCTCTCTCCCTCTTGTTCTCTCTCTCTCTCCTCACTCTCTCTTGTTCTCTCTCTCTCTCTCTCCTTGTCTCTCTTTGGTTCTCTCTCTCTCTCTCTCTCACTCTCTTTGTTCTCTCTCTCTCTCTCTCTCACTCACTCTCTTTGGTTCTCTCTCTCTCTCTCCTCACACTCTCTCTTTGGTTCTCTCTCTCTCACTCTCTCTCTTTGGTTCTCTCTCTCTCCTCACTCTCTCTTTGTTCTCTCTCTCTCTCCTCCTCTCTCTTTGGTTCTCTCTCTCTCTCTCTCTCTTTGGTTCTCTCTCTCTCCTCCTCTCTCTCTTCTCTCTTCTCTCTCCTCCTCTCTCTTTGGTTCTCTCTCTCTCTCACTCACTCTCTCTTTGGTTCTCTCTCTCTCTCACTCACTCTCTCTTTGGTTCTCTCTCTCTCTCACTCACTCTCTCTTTGGTTCTCTCTCTCTCTCTCACTCACTCTCTCTTTGGTTCTCTCTCTCTCCTCCTCTCTCTTTGGTACTCTCTCTCTCCCTCTCCTCTTTGGTTCTCTCTCTCTCTCTCTCTCTCACTCACTCTCTCTTTGGTTCTCTCTCTCTCTCTCACTCACTCTCTCTTTGGTTCTCTCTCTCTCTCACTCTCTCTTTTGGTCTCTCTCTCTCCTCTCTCTCTCTTTGGTTCTCTCTCTCCTCTCCCTCTCTTTAGTTCTCTCTCTCCTCCTCACTCTTTGGTTCTCTCTCTCTCTCTCTCTCTCACTCACTCTCTCTTTGGTTCTCTCTCTCTCTCTCTCCCTCTCTCTCTTTAGTTCTCTCTCTCCCTCTCTCTCTTTGGTTCTCTCTCTCCTCCTCTCTCTTTGGTTCTCTCTCTCCTCCACTCTCTCTTTGGTTCTCTCTCTCCTCCCTCTCTCTTTGGTTCTCTCTCTCTCTCTCTCTCTCTCTCTCTTTTGGTTCTCTCTCTCACTCACTCTCTCTCTTTTGGTTCTCTCTCTCTCACTCACTCTCTCTTTTGTTCTCTCTCTCTCACTCACTCTCTCTCTTCTCTCTCTCTCACTCACTCTCTCTTTGGTTCTCTCTCTCTCTCTCTCTCACTCTCTTTCTTTGGTTCTCTCTCTCTCTCTCTCTCACTCTCTCTTTGGTTCTCTCTCTCTCTCTCTCTCTCTCACTCTCTCTTTGGTTCTCTCTCTCTCTCACTCACTCTTTGGCTCTCTCTCTCTCTCTGGCTCTCTCTATCAATCCCAACCAATATAGCTTTGATGTAACCTAATGACAAATTTTGTTATTAATTTACAGTTCCAATTTTTTTTCCCCTCAATTGTTTGTATTGTTTTTCTCTTACTACTATTAAAAGTGCTCCAATTTTTCCCTTGTAAGATTGGAGTGCAAAATGACTCGTCATTTGCCTTTTGAAGACTGAGTCTATAAGAACAAATCAAAATCTCAATGTCCTTTCTATTTCAGTAATTGCAAAAGACTCAAAACTTTGAAGTAGAAATTTAGCTTTGGTCAAGTGCATTGCTAAATTTCAGGATAAAATATTTTAGTTATTGGTGTTAGGATATATATTTTCTCACTTTATATTGAAACAAACTCTTCTACTGTATACATTAATCAATTTCATTTTGTTAAATTCTGAATCTTGCACAAGGTCAACTAAAATTCTATACCTGTTTGCATTTCTTGTTAATTCAAACCACCAAATTCATTGACAAACACTCAAGATTAAAGCTAGAAATAAACAAATGCAGAATTTATAGAAAAATGTCAATTTGACTATGAAATTTTGTTTTTAAACTAAAAGAATAACAAGAGAGGAAATGAAATGAACCAAAGAACTTGATTATTGATTCTGCTTTTTTTATTATATATATATATATAAAAACACACACTTAACAGATTCTGACAGGTATGCTGCTTTTGTAGATGTATTCCTTGGCCTTGTCAAGGAATACATCTACAAAAGCAGCATTTTTAATCCATTTCTCTCCACTTTTCAAATGCTTAACATTTCAAATAATTTGAAATGAAACCAAAAGAAGCTTCGTTTTTTAACTCCTTTCTTTATCCATTCCATATCTGATTAAATCAAGGGCCACTATTAACCATAGGCTGTCTTTTTCTTCTAATCCTATCACTACAACACATGAATGACTATAGAAACAAAGCAACATTTTTACCTTTTTGCTACAAAAATTTCACCATCAAATTCATTATGTTCAGTACTGTGCCAATGTTGTTGTTTTACTTTGTTTTTTTTAATCTGTTTTCAAGGCAAATGTGAGAATGATTTACCCTCTTTCTCCCTTTTGTCATCTGTGATATACCACTGAGAGTGCAGGGAGAATGGCATTATTGCAAAATGCAAACAACCTCAGATATTTCAATCACTGCATTTTTATGATAAACCATGATTTCTACTTTTCCCTTGTGGAGTTCTCATTGCTTGACCATACAAGGATTTTATTTTTGTCTAACAAAAAATTCATATCCAAGCTAGATTTTCACGTTTCACTTATCAAATCTAGAATGGTAAAAGTCTATAGGGAAGAAATATTGTTGCATCCATTTTCTTGTCTTGAAAATCAGCAATTAAAATCTTGAATTTGAAAACAACAGTTTCATCACTAATCATGTATCTAAGACTGGATAAAAACAAAATTTCTACTTCGAAATAAAAAGGTGATATATTTATTAAGAACTGATTACCATGAGAATCAGGTGATCTATCAACTGAGGTTAAAAATATTAAACATTTCAAATATCCTATTTTATTCCTCTATATCATGTTGGGAGGCAAGAGTTTTTGTGCATATGGGTTTATTAATTGAATAAAGTGCTTTTCAAATAGCATATGAAATTCTGTTCTATCATTTCCTAGCTTTATAAAATTAAGACTTCACAAAAACCCTCACCAACTAAAGTTATAAGCAAAATAAATAAATTTAAAATAAATATTTCCATTGCAGTTTTCTAGATTTTTTTTTTTTTTTTTTCTGGTTCTCTTTCAACAGCAAAGTTCAACAAGACTTTTTTTTGCATCTTCATATATAAACATTTGTTCAGTTTAGAACAGTGCAACACCATATACAATTCTATTGAATTTTGAAACAAGCTACAAGATATAACTTTTTTTCTTTAATATTTGTTATAAATTCATAGCATCATAATTTAGTTATCAAACTATTTTCCAGGTTTTCTATGTACTTGTGTCCTCTTTCAGCTAAAGAACGATTCCAATTTGAACTCAAGATTTTTCCAAATCTTACAGGATAATGAATCAAATCTGAAGGTGACATGTTTTTCAAATAAACATGATAAAGATCTTTTCATTAGAAATTACCTTTATTTTTTTTTTTTTTCTTCCAGATATTTGAAGAATTTTTTTTTTCATAATATTGTAGAATCTTTGTAGCTTTTGAAACTTTGCTTTATGCTTGTAAACAATGTACAAGCAATGAAGAGTGGAGTGAAGTTGGAAAACAATGGTTTCTATAAAATAGTGACCCCCTTAAAAAAAAAATTGGTGCTAGGAATTCTGTGTGTACATGTTGAATAATTTTGTTCAAACTCATTAAAGCAGAGGGAAAAACCTTATCAATTTTTTTTCTCTTTTCCAGGAACATTTCCATCAATCTGCCCTTTTTTTTTCTTTGCTTCTTCTCTCACCATGAATGACCTTGACTACATCAAACAAGAACTGAACCACTATGGTCAGGCCCACTTGCTAAATTTCTGGGATGACCTGAACCAGACACAACAAGTCAACCTTCTAACTGAAATAAAGAACCTCAATTTGAAAGAAGTCACCCAGTATTTTGCTGATGCGAACCAGTCTTTGAAAGCTGCTAATGACAAAATTGATGACCTGTTGGAGCCTCTCCCTGCTGCCGTCTGTGGGAGTGTCACACGCTGTAGTGTGCAACAGATTCATGATTATTACAAATTGGGTAAAGAAATGCAATTTCTTTATTCTTATTCTTTCTATAGAAAGTATTTTAGGTTTTATCATGATTTTAATCACAAACCTTCCAAAAATAATTAATGCATAATTCGTTCAACTTTTTGTTTTTTACCTGAAAATCTTTTAAACTGTTAAATGTTTTCTTTCTATAGCATGCGGAATTCATTTAGTCAAGAGATGAAGCTACAAGCATCAATTAAACCCTTTTCTTACATTTTGAAATTTTAAGCTTGCAAATATGAAAATCTAATTTTTCATATTGAATTTCCTTTCCTCAGTTGTTTGTTTCATTTTTAATCCACTACGTACTGTCAAAATGTTTAAACATCTTGTTAACAGCAATTGTGCTACCATTTGAAAGTCACTCCTTATAATGCGGTTTAATAAGCCTCAACAAATCTCTTGTAATTGTACAGACGTTTTGATTAGGAAAAAGTTTACAAGACATTTTTATGTAATTTATGAACTTATAAACTTAAACATTTCTTTTAGATGTTTTTGAATATTTTAAGTAAATTTAAACATGAATTTTTTTTATTTTTTTTTTTTTTTTTTTTTTTTTTTTTTAATTGAAGACTCCTGAAATTATTTAATTTTTCAGGCAGGAATGTTTGTTTTTTAGCATCAAACAAAAAAATTATTTCATGACATCCTGCACAATTTTCTTTCATCTAGCTCTCTGAAGAATGCTTGACCTCTTTTGGAGATGAGCTTTTTATTTTTATATTTTTTCATGACGTTATTACATTGGGCTTGATTACAATTAACTGTCATTTCTGAAAATTTACAGCTCCTTTTTGAGATTTTAGATTTAATTTATTTTTTTTTTTTTTTTTTTTTTTTTTAGACAAAAATTTGTAATACCATTTTCTTAAGCTTCTTAATTTAGCTTTGTTTACATGATAGCCATTAAATAAGTATTATTACTGCTAAGTTGTGTCTTCCCATCAGTGATGATATAAAAGACAGAATTTCAAATGCATTATCCCTTATAAGAAGGCCCTCCCCATTTGGTAACTGAAACAACATGATCTTCAAATGCTTGATTGCTTTATTCAATTTTGTGGCTACCTATAGATAAACTTGGTAAATATTTCACCTTAGCATCTGCATCAGAAAATCATGAGGAATGATTGATTCATTTACAGGTCTCACTGGACTGACCTTCAGTATTTTGTCTGGTGGTCTTCTGGAGTTTTTCCTCTTGTACAATACTGTTTGCCACTCAGAAAAATATTTGCTTAACATCTCCCATTTGTCCCAGTCAATGTCACCTCCAGAATCTGTTTTAAACTCTTTAGAATGAAATGCTCAATGTTTATTCATCACTATTTTCAGCTTTCAAGTTTGTTTTTTTTTCTTTTCTATTGATCTGTATGAGAGTTTTTGATTCTCTAAAGATTTTGGCATTAAACAAGTTTGACTTGTTTTACAAGACATACACATGTGTGTGTATATAATAATCTTATGATTATTTCAAAATAATGGATATCTCATTAGCCTGTTTAGTATGACATGTTAACATATATGCTCAGGTGCTGAAACATTTTCAGGCCTAACCCACTTTCCTAAGCCAGAATTCTGATATTTGATCAATGCCATGCTAATTCTGTGAAATGGGTTGGGCAGAGAACTTTTCAGCACCCCCACCTCCACATGAATAAAATTCTGACTTCATCAGAACAATTTATCATGTGATTATTTTTATTTATCTTGCTTATTAATTTTTCTTCAACATTTCTATATCTTTTATATATCTCAAACCAACTGGAATACTTTGCTAAGTTGATAGCAATAATAACATGAAATTTCAGCCAAAGTTTTGGATTTCAACATTTTTATAGCATTTTGTTTGTTTGTTTTTTTTTTTTTTTTTTTTTGTTTTTTTGTTTTTTTTTAAGAAAATAACAATAATTTTAAACAATTTTAAAAATTATACTTCACCCAATAATTTTCTCATGTTCATTTTTTTTTTTTTTTACCTGGTGAGTGGGGTACTCTCAGTGTAGACATGTACAAGTTGTTGTTCCCCAGCTGTGTTTCATTACCCCCCTCCACCCAGCTACTCTCTTAACTCTCAATTATAGAACACACACTTCAGTGTTGAAGTTAAAAGTAAAGAAAGGTTTATTTAAATTGTTTAAAATGAAGAAATGCAAATTTTATTCAATTTTCAGAAAGTTTTTGGGAATTGTTTAAATCTATGAGAAACTGTTTTGGGAAATTTTCTAATTTGTTTTAAGAAAATTTTCAATATTGAGTAAGCTTAGTTTTGCAGAAGACTGCAATAGTTGGACAAACAACAATTGATTAGAGTTGGTGAATGCTTGTCTAGAACCTGCAGCACTTTTCAGAAATAGTGTACAGTTCCAAAAATTTGAATTCACTTTCAGTCTTCACTGCTATCTTTCCTTGAATAGCAGTCTATTTAACCCATAGGTGAGGGGAAAGATGGATTTATGCCTTTTCCAAGGTCATTGGCATGAAGTGAACAAAACAGAATTGACTGGAATTTGAACTCTGCTTAAAATACTGACAACCCTTACACTATGTGCATGTTCATTCATGTGCATGACAGGGAGAGAGAAATATCTCAAAATAATTGTAGTTCCCAATCAACTTTTCAAATAATGACTTTTTACTGGTAGGAAAAGCATGATGACCTCAGCTCCCAAGCAGATAACTACCATTTTGTTTTTGAAGCCTCTAAGATGGTATTTTTATTTTTCAAAATCTGATCCTTAAAATCACACAGCATCCAACACAAAGGATCAGTTTGTGAATCTTCCCCAGTGACATCTGGACCAAACTCCAGAAATTCTTCAAATTTATAAATTCCCAAACTCTTGATGTCTTTAAACAAATTGTCATTTAGCCCAAACGTTTTTAATTAATAATAATAATAAACCTTAATTCTGATTTTTAAGAACAAAAAATTTTCACTTTAATGTATATGAGAAATCTTGACTTGGAGAAAAATCAATTTGGGTAAAGAAATAAATGACTAGAAAAAAAAACCTTTATAAGAAATTAAGAAGCATTTGGTCATCTACCTTTTTGTCATTTCTGACAATGTCTCATTTTATAAAGATTTCTCAAATCATAGACTTGAAGCAGCCAATTTGGGTTCGTTTTTTGTGATGTGCAAATCTGAATCAAATTAAATCAATTTAACATCTGAAGCTAGAGAATCAGTTTATATAACATGAGAAATTCTTGCAGAAAACTCATGTCATTATATAAATTGGAAATTTATTTTCTTTATATCTAAAATATATTCAAACAGCCTACTAAGCTTACTTCAGGATTTGACCTTGCATAAATAATTTGACCAACTTTATATATAAGTTAGACATCTTAATTACAAGTTCAGAATTTTGATCCAACTGCTCCTTTAATGAATGGTGTCTTGTATTTAGAAAGAGAAAAGAATTTAAAACTTTAGTTTTTCAACCCTTACTGGTTTATAGAATTGACCCTGTGGCCATTAGGTAAAAAAAATAACTCAAATTAGGGATGGTGCTCATTGTCATCTGTCAGTGTCCTCTTATATATATATATATATATATATATATATATATATAAAATTATAGCTAATATCCTTGGGCAAAATCTCTGTAAAAAGATGAAAAGGTCTTTAATTATGCATGCGTGAGACAGTTTTTTATTATCTTAAATGTAAAGTTTTTGTGGAATTAACAGCTCTCAGCAGTTCCTTATTTTTTTATTTTTTTTCTTGAACATTGTTGTACATTGCCCCCCTCACCACTACAACTACCAGCCTCCATCTTAAGCTTTTTCATATTGGTGATTTTTATTTAGTATTTAAGCCATTCCTTTACAATGTTGAAAAGAACAAACTTACAATGTCTAGACTGATTAAAATTAATCCTATTGACAGTAAACATGTCAAAGCCACTTTTTATCTCTTCCAAATATTCTCTCTGAATTGAAATTTTCACACTCTCTCGCCTTCATTTACTACGAGTATTCATGAAACATTTTAAGGATATAAAATTTTCTATTGTCAAAAAAACTCATCACTACATTGGTATTTCCAAAATGAAGGGCAAACAAATTGCCAAATACTGAACTTTTTCAAAATGGAGGAAGACATTAAGTATATATAAATTTTTAAATTAAATTTCTATTTTCTATTTGTATGTGTAATTTAAAAAATATATATTCAGTAGTTTGGTTTAACCCATCTTAAAACAGTAAACGAAAATAGAGAAAATATTTTTATGTTAGTCGATAAACATTTTCTCAAAAAATAGTAAATATGCAAAAATTATCCACAGAAATAATATTAAGTTACAATTGCATGGAAAATATGGAAAAAAATAATTAGCATAATAAAAATTACTTAATATAGGGAACATTAATTTTAATTATAATAATAATGATAACCATAACTTTAATAATACAATTTCCTGCAACTGTAGACATAAAACAAAATGTCTTAAATAATAAATGTTTAACCAAAATTATAATTTATAAAGTTACAGTAACAAATAATATTAATATAGGAGAAAAAAATCATATAGGAGATGCAGAAAAAAAATCTATAAAAGCAAGGTATTACAATTATAAATTATCATTTGATAAAATATGCAAATAACACTACTCTTTCTAAGTATATAATTAATTTAAAAATAAACAAATAATTGATAAGTTTGTTATATTACAAATTATGCAATACTTTGAAATTTACAATGATAATTATATAAGTAAAAAAAGAAAAATTAACTGGTTCTAAATATAAACCTTGGGATATTTCTAACTAAACTCTCAAATGTTAAGAATTTGAAAGTTAGAATTAGGATTTTCTTGCTCAGAAAGAGAATATGGCATCTGATAATAAGTTCAATAAATTTCTCAAACATCTGACACTGATAAGCATTTAAATGTGAAACACTTGTCAACTAATCAGATCAATCACTCTTTTCTCAATTTATTGTATGTTATAGCTCTAGTTCTCTATTG